TATAAAACGTCTCAACCCACTTTATTTTTAATTGTTTAGTTTATAATTAAAGAATAAATAAATAAAATTAAAGGTTATCGATGATTAACGAAGATTATTTTTAGTTTAAAATATCATTTCGAGTTGTTTAATTGTATAAAAAAATAAGTGTTTAAAAGTGCATAAAAGTACATACACCCTATAACACTGTTGATAATTCCGTTTTATATGAATTTCATGTTGTACGAGTCACTTAGATTTTACAAATTCGTGAGCCATTCACAGCCCGAAACACATATTTGTAAAATCTAAGTGACTCGTTATATGAAATTCATATAAAACGGAATTATCAACAGTGTTAAAAGGGGTCGACTGTAAATAGTTTAAAATTGTATGTATTTAAACGTATAAAAGTGTATAAAGTATATAAAAATGTATAGAATCGATTCAAAGACTTTAAATTATATAAAATTGCTCATAAATTTAGTAATTATAATAAAGAATTATATAAAATTTCATTAACAAATTCAATTCTTTTAGCATTCATTGAGTTTTGTAAGAGCAATAAACGAGCTTAAGAAGGATAATTAAAATTTAATTTTAAGCACATTTTATTAAAAAGTAATTTATATTTTTAATTCTTTAAAAATCTTTTAAATAAATATAATTTATTTAATTGATTTTAAGCATTTATTCAGGAGAAAAAAAACAAAAAAAAAACGATGTGTAATCTAGTAATAATTAACGAACTTTTTGATAGATTACCTTTCTATTAACTCTATAATACATTAAAAATTAATGAGAATTATTGAAACATAGTAATTAGGAAATATTAGTTTGAGTAAAACTTTTATCTTCAAAGAAAAAAATAATATAGAAATCATTAATAACTTTAACAGATTATACTTATACATGAAGAAATTAACGTTAACTATATTAGTTATCGTTAATTTTTGACGTGTAAAGAATAATTTATTAAATTTATTAATGATTTCTATTTTAAATTTCTATATTATGATAATAATCTAAACACTTTTAAGTATAGAAAATTGAGGTTAATGATGAGAAGAATCTAATTATTCTTTTTAAAAAAATAACCGAGAAGATGAAGTTAGATAAGGCGCATAAAATATCGTGTGAAGTGAGGTAAAAATGTCTTTAAAAGTAATTAGATTTTAATTTTATAATAAATTTAAATTCTTTAATTAATTTTATGGATATAAATTAAGATTTTAAAGCATAAATCATACAATTTTGTTTATGATAGAAGGTAGTATATGACCCGAACACCTGCCTCAATTTTCTACCTTTTTTTTCGTGTTCATGTTGATACTATATAGATATAGCCTATATAAAATTCAAAATGGAATAAAAAGTAAACTTAAAGAAAAGAATCGATATACGAAAGTAAGCAATTCTTAGGTAAAGAAAATCTATAGATAGACACATAAAAATGTATAGAAAAGAGTGAATTTTATAGATAAAGATGTGAAAAATTATTCTTTTTTTTAAAAAAAAAGTATTCTATAAATGATAAATAAAAAAAATAAATAAAATTTATTTTAATCTATTATTTAATTTAAGAAAAATAATAAGAATCAGATAAGAATTAATTGA